GCATGAAAGCTGCATCACATGTTCATGTTGTTGTTGTTTAGTCATTTAGTCATGTCCGACTCTTCGTGACCCCATGGATCAGAGCACGCCAGGCACTCCTGTCTTCCACTGCCTCCTGCAGTTCCATCAAACTCATGCTGGTAGCTTCAAGAACACTGTCCAACCACCTCGTCCTCTGTCGTCCCCTTCTCCTTGTGCCCTCAATCTTTCCCAACATCAGGGGCTTTTCCAGGGATCACTGCCTTGTTGTGGCGAAAGGGCTTGAATAACTCAGAGGAGCTATGAGCTATGCCGTGCAGGGCCACCCAAGATGGATAGGTCATAGTGGAGAATTTTGACTAAACGTGATCCACCTGGAGCAGGAACTGGCAAGCCACAAGCCACAGTATCCCTGCCAAGAAAACTCAATGGACAAAGATATGTTCATACTGAATGCCTAAAGATGTGCTTCCTAAGGCAGTGATGGAATAACCAATTCCTAAGGTTCCAGCAGCTGTTTTTACCTATTTACCATGTATGCACAGACTTCTGAGATACATGGATGAATGCCATGACCCTTTTATCTGCTGGTACCAGAAGCATCAGCTGTGACATCAGCTGTACGGATTGTGGTATTCATCATTTTAAAAATATCATCCCATTAAACTTTCAGTTCTAATTATATGCTAATACTAGTTTTTAAAAAAATGTTCTTATGTCAGCTTGTGACAGAACTGGAGCAATGACTGAGAGATTCAAACCTAGGGAGTCTTTGAAAAATATACTATTTTAAGACAGCAATATTCTGGTTCTAAATATCATGGACAATTGCATACTGGCTAGATTTTTAAAAATTAGATAACTTTAAAGTAACTGTCAACTTTTAACTAAATTTCAAGGAAGATTTCTAGCTCACCTTGAGAAACCCCCTTCCTCAAAGCAAGGCAGAGAGGAGGAAGCCTCTACATTAGCAAGAGAAACATTGTCTTGTGTGGTACCATGGGTTGTTGCCAGCAAAGTTTCCCTGTTAATGCTAGAGCAAAACCCCTAGAGCAAATTGGAGGGGGCCATGGGAGAAGAAGATCTGTTATGCAGATGGAAATCCTTGTGCTAACAGGATGACTTTGTGGGGTACTAGCCCATGTCTTGCAGAGGCCCAGCGTACTGCTTTTTTCCATCCTTCTGTGTCCCACATTCCTTTTCCTCAGACTTCCCTTTCCAGTTCATATCCATGATACTCAAAATGGAACCATGTCCATTTCCACTCCTTCTATATTTCCTAGCTTCCTCTATCTTCTGTCTTCCTATCTAGGATTTCTAGAAGTACCACAGACCTAGAAAGTGCCTAGAAAGAGTTCAGAAACCAATGCATAACATGTTTACATTTAGCTTATCCCTTTTAAAGTTTTTTAGTTCCTATGAGCAGTGTGTGTGTGTGTGTGTGTGTGTGTCTGTGTGTGTCTCTCTCTGTGTGTGTGTGTGTGTGTGTGTGTCTGTGTGTGTGTGTGTGTGTGTAAATATATAAACAAAACACTTTTCTTTATCAGTTCTATATGTTATGAGTACTATAACTGCCCTAGTGAGTTATTAACAATTTTACTGTAGTTATGCATTATTTAAAAGTGATCATCAATTTGCAAGAAGCAACCTCAGCTTCTGGGCCAAAACTTTCCACTGAAGGAAGGAAAAGAGTCCATTGTGAAAGGTGGCAAAGCTGCCTTCCCTTTTGGGGGCAGCAGGGAACATTCACTAAATACCCCTGCAACCTCCCTTCGGCTAGTGACAACCATTGGAGTCCCATTTATCCTCATGTGGAATGATACCATGTCATGACATAGCGATGTTCTCCGCTAGCATCAGAAAATAAAAATAAGCTGGGAGGGGCAGCAGTGAGTTTCATGCCTCCATGCCCTCTTGGAACCCCAAATGGAGAAAAGGGGCACATTGTCTATGAGCCCTAGGATTCAGCAATAATAATGGAGAACACTAGTTTGATAAGGCAGAAGGAACCAGGTGGCAAAAGTAAGGGTCAAGAACACTAACCTTGCTGTGAATAGGCACACTTCCCTCCGTACTCCAGGGACTCCCAGTTCTCTGTTCTAGTTTTGCCTTAAAACAACCAAATACCACGTACACCCTATTAACTGAAACAACCCTCAATAAAGAGTATGTCTGCCATAACCCTGAACTAAAGTTTTGTGATAAATCCCCTAAGCCAGCCATCCTGGCTGCCAATGAAAACTCCACACACAGCTCCTATGATGTCAGTGTCTCCAGCTGTGATTCCACTCAGCTAGATTAGCTCTGTGGTGGTTTGAGGGAATAGCGAAAACAGAAACACAAGTTTGGTATTGATTTGTCTTCTACAGGCATATTTATGAGTGTTCTTCTAGAGGACCATGGCTTTTAGTAATGGATCATTCTGGTTGTTTCCTTCAAAACACTTTTCAACCCTGGCACTCTTCTCCTTCCATTTTCTTAAATCTCTCTCCTCCCCCCACCCCCCACAATGCCTTTTATTGGCATGTTTATCCACAGGCCCATTTTCTGCACAATCTCACAGATGAAATATGCATGATTTGCTGAGGCTGGGGTGGATTCTGGCAAGCCACTTTTGTGGCCTCATGAATAATGGTTGTCCATTGCAAGACAGAAGCGGGAACTAAAAATGCACAAAGCAGATATTCCAGATGGGGAAAACTCCCATCAAAGCCAGCCACATAATACACAGCAAGTCAAACTAATAAAAGCCACATATATCTACATGTTGCATTCATACCGGAGGATATTTGTGCCATTTGATAGATGAGAAACACTGAGGAGTCACTTCCAGTAAAGTGGTTAAATACACAGGTGTGTGCAGGACAACTCATTAGAGTGTGTACCCAGGGTTTTAATCTGTTTATTTCAATGAAAGAAGACAGAAGGGTGGACAACAACACAAACAAATATGGACAAGGAAGAGGTGAAGGGGCAAAAAGCTTATAGAACAATCACAAGAAGAGTGGTCAAGGAGCCAAAACAGGAGATTTTTTCCCTGCAGAGAAAAAGACCTGTGCCAAGCTGACCAGAAGAAGGCAGAAGTGGGCAGCACCAAAAGCAGGATGGCTCCTCCTCTGCCTTGCTTTTGTGCCACAAGAGCAGTCCCTCATCCGCACAGATCTCTCTTCACAAAAGGTGACGAGCAGAGCTCAGATAGAGGCATGAGATAGAGACAGGTGCAGGCAGATGAAAAAAGCTGGAATGGACCTGAAGCTTTTGCCTGCGGAGGAAGAGTTCCTGCTCCTTCCTTACTACCACTGCTGGAACCAATCATCCCACTTCTGCTTCTAGAAACAGGCAGGGCAGAAGCTACAGATGCATTTTAGAAAAATTCCAGCCTTTTTCTTCTTCCTGTGTCTCTCTCTGTCTATTTCCTTTGATCCCACCATACATGCAGCTCACGTAATGTGATGGGGTTTTTTCTTTTCTCTGTGAACGAAACTTTGAGCCTAAACATGACTGAGCAGAAGATGTATACAGAACTGGATTGATGCCGACAAATGCTTTTTCAAGCAGCAAGTAAACAACACCTCCTCAGGCCAGCTGCCATATCTCAAAACCATCTTTCCCAACTCGTACAACAACCTCCTTATAAATTTCAATCTTCCTTAAATGCTAAGCAAGCAAATTTATGCAGAAAAAGTAGAGCTTGAGAAGCCAAGGGGGAAATGTTTCATTGTCCTATGATAAAAAACCCCTGAGTTATGTCTCAGTAATGGGAACCACTACCATCCTTGTGCAGTAAAGGTAAATAAATGCCCAATAATCTCACTTGCTTGGGTTGTTGGAAGTACACATTAATGAAACATCTGCTCCAGTTTGTCCCTGGCAAATTGAAAGCTTCTATTCATGAAATGCAGATCAAAGGAAATTTCTGACATGTAGCTTTCAGCAGCTATAGTAACTATGAAGCAAATGCTATATTTGTATTTTGGAAGTGGAAGCTATATTTATATTTCTAAAAATCATTATTTAGAATATGTTCCATTATGCTCAGAATATCATTCTGGAATGGCAATTGTAGATTGCTATTCAAGTATTTATTATCTGAATTTCAATATGAAAAGAGTCTGTTCTATCTCCAGTTCCAGGTGTTCCTTATGTAATTTGTTAGTAGGAAATTATATTTAAAAATGACCTTCCAGCCTCATATTAGTTCCCCTTCCTGAATGAGTGGTGTGTATGCTATTCTGCAGAAGCAAGTAGGATGCCTGTGGTATATTGGTATAGTAATTGGTTGCTTGCACTGCTTTGTAGTTTATGTACATTGTTTAGGATGCATGCATAGAAAAGCAAGTAATAAATACTTTAAATAAATGACTGATCAATGGTAGGGTGTCTATAACAAGATTCACAAGGGGGTGGAATGAGCTGCAGAGAGTTTAGGTGATAGTCAACTAAGTTTTACTCAGAGTACTGTAATATGAAGTTACACAGATGCAAATCTTGCTGAGATTTCAAGATCACTGGGCCATATGTTGGATTGCTTTGCTTGTGTATGGATGAACATTTTAGTTTGAATATCTATCTATCTATCACCTATATTTTGGTAGTGGCTGTAAGCAGCCATTGCATTAGCAGCTTAAGGATATTCATGAAAGTGGTGGCCTTGCTCGTTGCTTTTTTTCTGGGGGGACGCAGGGGTACATATACCCCTAAACATTTTGTGAATCTAAGTTTGGCCTCATTGAGGGGCAGTATTTCAATATGAGAAGGAAAATGAGAGTACCCCTAAACATTTTTTAAGAAAAAAGCACTGGCCTTACCCATTTGTTTTCTGATAATTGGATGTATGCTGTCTTAATGAGGTGCATAATTTCATCTTCTTTTCCTCTCTCTGATTTATATATATTTTCCCAGTCTAAATTGTCACCAGCTGGTGAAATTTCTCTCAGAAGAATAAAAGTCCAAACACTTCACCATGAAGTTTTTTTTTAAATTTTTTAAGTGTTAATTGCTTTTGTTTCCCTCTGGCACAGTGGAAGCTCTTCATCTGGGAACATTAATGGCAGCCCATGGTTATTTCTTTCCTATCTCAGACCATGTTTTAACGCTGAAAGATGATGGCACCTTTTACCGGTTCCAAGTAAGTATTCCTGCTTTATTTCATTGACTTGACATGTAATAGCAAGGGATTTCTTCATTGTCAATACAGCAGACTTCTGTTCATGATGTGGTCCAGTATCAGCATCAGCTACTGAAAGGGCATCTCTTCCCCAGCCACATACATAAAATACAAGCATTTGTGCAGGGAGTGGGGGAGAGGTGCCCTGATATAGCTAGTGGCTATACAAGTAGCCATCTGCAAACACATCCCGAAGGTATAGCACACAGACAGATCCACATTCAGTTTCTGGCAGTGTTATGTGCAGAGCTTTGTTAGAAAAGCAATAATTGGAGTAGTTTAAGAAGGTAGCCAAAGGAAGAGGAGGGATAATTTATGGATACTTAGGAGAAGGGCAATAGCTCAGTGATAAAGTATTTGCTCTGCGTGTAGTCAGTCCTTGTTTCAGTGCTTCACATCTCCAGATAGGGATTAGAATCTGATTAGGAATGAATTGAGGCAATAGGAGAAGATATATTACGGTATTTAGCTATTATCCTTCCTTGCTCATATGAGTGAGATCAGCAGAGTACCATCCTTTGCAGCTTTAAACTTGAAAGCTAAGGCAAGACTGAATCACCTTCTAGAAACAATGATCCAGGATGCTTTAAGGCAGACTGGATTTTCCTAGTATGACTCCTTCCTCCCCCTCACTAAAAATATTAACCACACATGCATTGCTTTGTGAAGAAGTAAAAGTATTATTTACTTACATAATCAAGGTCTCAAGCTGCAGTTAAATAGCAAAATGAAGGCAGGTTTATAACTTCTATCTAAGTTACAAAAGTACAAGAGATTCTGAGTGGCCCAAGGCTGAGGTATAGGCCGGTTCCTAGCTAGTCACTGCAAAGATGCTCTGAAGCAATCCATTGCGCCATAAATTGGCACCATACTTGCATTGGTTTCTCCTGCAAAGAAGAAGTGGTGAGTGTTTTCAGAAAAATATATATAATTGCCCAACCTTATAAGAAACACTTGATTCTATGCACAAAGTTATAACAACATTATTTGGAGTATCAATTTTTCTTTGCTGTATGGCATTTAAATAAGTTCAATTGATACTGCTAGCCACTCCCCAGACAGTTAATTTTAGAAGTCAAAGGAAATGTAGTATGCATGTTTATATTTTGTCAGACATAAATTCCTACATTCTTCCATTTTTGTTTTATTTTGCAGACACCCTATTTTTGGCCATCCAATTGTTGGGAGCCGGAAAACACAGATTATGGTCAGTGTGGATCTCTCTTCTCTTTCACTCCGGAGTCTTGCATTGTATGGATGAAAGTCTCATAATCGTCTTTTGCATTTAATCCATCTTTTTCACTAAACCACTCCTGGCTTTACTTTTCAAACCCAGGTCAAGAACTGCTAATGCTGAGCTCAAGATTGGCTTTGGTTTACAAAGTTTACTAAGGCAGAGGTCAAATCTGCACACAACATGGGAATACAAAAATAGCATTATTTTTGCCCCTTTGTAAATGTGCTGACTCAGAAATTAATTCAAAGGCAGGGTTGGCACCAGATGTAGGCATTGTTGGGCACCACCCAAGGCCCACTCCCCAGTAAGGGTCCTACGGCTAACCCCTAGATCAGCCTGGTGCTTTTGCTCCTCCTCTGTCTTGCTGTTACTGCCTGGTCACTGTTCAGCTATCCTGAGCACACAAGCAGCAACAAGAGAGAGGAGGAGATGAAGCTGCATTTTCCATTTGCCTTCTGCTCTCCCTTTGGATGGTTGTACAGTTTTGTCCCAGACTGAGATTGATTTGTGAACTGACAGTGGTGGCAACAGGAAGGAGGAGGTGGACCCACTCAAAGCATCTTGGCCAAGGGTTCTCCAAAGCCCAAAGCTGACACTGTTCACCGGTAGTGAATTTGACATTTGTATTTGGTTGAAACAACAGCCAGCGATCAACTTAAGAATGCTCAAAGCTAAGAACTAATTCAGACTAGGTCACAGAGATGTGAATCTGTGCATGACCACCACCCCATGGCCACATTTGCTAATATCTTTCTAACATACATTAAGTGTAAAACAGGTATAGGCAAACTCCGGCCCTCCAGATTTTTGGGACCACATTTTCCATCATCCCTGACCACTGGTCCTGTTAGCCGTGGATGATGGGAATTGTAGTCCAAAAATTCTGCAGGGCTGGAGTTTGCTTATGCCTGATGTAAAATGTTACTTAGATGTACTTTTATTTCAATCTCTGCCCCATAAACAAAGCATAGGGGATCATTAGGTGACCTCTTGTAGTATTCTTGTGAAAGACAGCAAGAGTTCGAGAAGTTCACTGTTAAGTGGTCCGTTACATTTCTCTTTGACATAAGGTTACGTTCCTTTTTGATATTTATGCCATGTATTATGCATGCAGGGCTTAAAAATTAAATTTAACATTAAATTTGAAACACATTCAACACATTTCAAAATGAAGCACCTTATTCATTCCACAAAATGAATATATAAATGTAAATAGGCACTGTCAAAAAACAACAACCCTGGCTATGGACATTTATTGTGTTGTACTGTGCCCAATCTATTATTGTGTTGGATTGTTGCCCCATTGTTCTTTCTTGCTTCACTTATAATTTTCTGGACTATATACATGGCATGAAAGGAGCAAGTGGTTTTGGTTATAGTCTTAAAATTAATACTGCAGAATTGACAAAGTGTGTGCATAGTGACTGAGTGGAAATTTGAAAGGTAGATGGAAACAAGGAATCAACTTTTTAAATAAAGAAGTTTGGCTTTGGCGCACTTAAAAATGATATGTTCACCAGGTTGTCAACATTATTTTTGGACGTTAGAAGTTTGTTCTTGCCTATGACCTGGGAGCTTAAATTTAAGGGGTTATTGAAATTTTTTTCGTGCCTATCTCAGGTTCGCACAGCTCAGCTGTGAAATGCAAAGTCCCGGGACTGAAGCTCAGCTAAACAAATAGTTTTTCATTCCAAAGCAGAAATAGAAAACCTATGGCCCTCAATAAGTTGTTGAACTCAAAGTCTCATCAGCTGTGTCAGCATAGTCAACAGTGAGGAATGGTGGAAGGTGTAGCCTATCCCTGCCATAAAACTAAAGTTGTATTAGTACTTTTGTGCCAGATCACCTTTTCAGAAGGCAGATTATCTCATAGCTTCAGCATCAGATGCAGTCCAACTGAGGCCCCATCTGCACTATTTAAAGCAGTATCATACCAATCATGGCTTTTCTGAAATAATCCTGGGAACTGTAGTTTGTTAAGAGTGCTGAGTCTTGTTAGGAGACCTCTGTTTACCTCACAGAGCTGCAATTCTCAGAGTGGTTTAATAATCAATCCCTCTTCTCAGGGACTTAAGAGAATGGCAGCTCTGTGAGGTGAAGAGGGGGTCTCCTAAAAACATTCACAAGAGTGTGCAATGCACCAGTGTGCATACTCAAAACATACCACTTGGTCACTGAAGAAAGTTTGCTTTTCAGACTACGCAGTTTACACTCGTTCTATATCTGCCCCTGTTTGCCATCATGAGGGTACCAGTTTATTATAGGTCTTGTTCCTGTGCTTTTAACAATAGCAATTGACTCCCCCACTCCATCACTTTATCTCTATGTCAGGAAAAACTTCACCTGCTAAATTCCCAGAGGAGTAGTTGGTCTCTTTCAATAGAGTCTCATGACCTTAAAGGCCAATTCATGTATGAGCTTTCATGAACTACCCACAGTCCCTTTTATTTGATAACTGGAATTTAGTTCACAAAGACTTAGGCCATAATAAATCTTTGAAATTCTTACATAGTTTTAAGTTTGAATGTATTATAGAATGATGCAGTCTGGTTATTTGTGGTGTGTGGGAAACGATAGGCTGTGTATTTAGAGAGAAATTCATAACACTAGGATAGGATTTCCTTGCCTTTTCAGAATTCACCCCCAAAAGCACGTTTCAGAATAATCCTCTGGAATATTTCAGAATAATTTCAGAATAATCCTACTTAAAATGTAAGGAACAATTCTCACCAAGTATTCAAACTGCTGTAGTAACACTTTTGCTATCGTGGTTTATATACTTGGTGAGATGTGCTATTTAAAACATTCCTCTAAAGAAGTTTATCCCAAGATGCATCAGGCTTCGTATTAAGCCCCTCCCCGCCCCCACCTCCAAGCAGCTAGAGTTTGGTTTTGGTTTTCTTCTGGCTAGTGATTTTCTGGTCAGTAGCCATTTTAGAACATTGAGAATGTGAAACAGTGGTATTGAATATCAAAGCTGTGAGCACATTTGCATGAGGACTTGGTTTTCAAAGTGAGAGGTGTAAAGTTTGCCGGCTGGTTTGGGCATAAACACAGATAGCTGTAACCAGGAGGAGATATCTTCTGACCATACAATGTACATTTGAAGCTTCCTTGGTGTTCTGTTTTAATAACATGAAATATAAATATATTAAATAAAATAAACGACATTTTAAACGCTTGTCAGATAGACAAAAAAGTTAGTAAATTATTTCCCATTTACATAATAATAATAATAATAATAATAATAATAATAATAATATTTGAAATATTTTTAGGCTGCTTTACTTGGCAAAAGCAGAACAAAAATACAAACAGCGCAAAGTTTTAAAAATACAAACTGTAAAACTTAACAGCTACTTAAAACTTCAAAAGTCGGTGCTGTTTAAGTGCAGTTTAGCTGAGTCAGTTGTTGCAACAGAGCTAAATACTGTATATGGAAATCTGTGGGTTTCCTACTAAATAAAAGTATGCAAAGTATAATTAGTCCACTTGCTTGTTTCTAGTTTGAAACCTCATAATTATCTGGTCTCTCCTGACCAAAAAGAAAAACAAAAACATATGGGATTTCCAGTGAGGTACAATTAAGCTGCTGACAGAGGAGGCGTGAGGAACCTTAAACATTTCCAAATAAAAACCTGAAAGGGGACTGTTATATTGGAGCAAATTTGTAATCTGCTGCTAGGAAAGGAAGGACCAAGAATCTCCCTTGCATATGGTCATGTGGAGGGATTCCCCTTAACAGAGAAATTTATAATCCACTGCAACATAACCCTGTGTGATCATTTTAATGGGGTGCCCCAATGTAGCATGTACATTACCCATACAGGAGGAATCTAGAGTACACAGAACAGCTGCTGTATGTGTGAGCACCTTCAAAGCAATCTACCATGCAAGGAGGGAAATAGGGTAATCCTGCTTGTCCATTGGATGCCGTTAAAGGAGCTAACCCAGTCTACTTGTGCAAAAAGGGGGCAGATCAGGGGGAGCCAAATGTGCCTCCACTTGTTTATGTCCAGGTATTGCCCTCACTCCTGCATCCATCCATTCCTCAGTGTAGAAAGAAATGTATACCTGCGCACCATACCTTGGGGCCATGCATTACTTATTTAAATTCCCAAATAAATTATTATCGCAAAGAAAATGATGACATTTGTATTGGCTTTCTCTTTCCACTGAACACACACACACACTCACACTGTGGGTGCAGTCCTTTGATGCAGCCCATATGTGCTGGCTGCTTTTCAAAATTAAAACATCATCTGGCACTTAAGGAGAATCCATTTATTTTTATTCCAGTGAGCACAGAACCCCCTTGAGCGTTTTGAATGAGGTTTTGAGAATAAGGGACCTACCATTCTGCTTCCACCAGAATCAAAGGAAGCGGATTCTGCTTGCGATCTGGATAACATTTTGATTTTGAAAACCTATAAACACAACGGGGCTGTATCAGAGGACTGCAGCGGCATGAGAAAACAAGAAGAGCCCTGAACAGCCAGGCCAAAGACTCATCCAGTCCAGTAGCCTGTTCTCACAAATGCCTACAGGAAACCCACAAACAGGGCATGGATATGAATGCCTAATAACAATAACAATAACAATAACAATATTTGTATGCCGCCCATCTGACTGGGTTGCCCCAGCTGCTCTGGGCGGCTTTCCCCACTTGTGATTCCCAACAACTGGTATTCTGAGGAATATGGCCTTCATCACTGCAGGTAGTGTGTGCTGAAAGGAAACGAGAAGGCAAATATTACCACTCTGATATTATTATTTTCCCTGGTACTTAAATCAGTGCTTTTGCTGGTGGTACATGCCGGTACAAAGTACCGGCACCTTCCCCCCCACAAATCAGAGCTTCGTGCCTCCTTCCCAAAGCCTAGGAAGCTTCTGCCAAGCTTCAGGAGGGAAGTGTGGGCCCTCTTGCCTCAGGAGGGTCTGAGAGTCCTCTTGCCTCCTTCCCCAAGTGCTTTCCGGCTTAGGGAAGGAGGCAGGAGGACTGCAGGATTCTGTAAGAGTCTCGTGCTTCCTTCCCAAAGCCCAGGAAGTTGAACGCAGAGCAACGGAAGGCAAATTTGTGTGCAGAAAAAAGCAAGGAGGGTGATTTGGGGTGAACCCTTCCCCCCTTTTTCTGTCCCAGATTCTGTTCATCTTGCAAAGGCATGAGATGCTCCTAACAGACTCAAGGGGGACATCTTGGTGCCAATTTGGAGGAGATCAGCAGGAGGAACACAAGGCTGGGATCAGCCTGCACAGAACGTCCTCAAAAGGATACCTTGTTGCTTCTACCCACCTTTTGGCAGGTGCCCGCCCAGCCTCTGTGCCAAACGGCACCTTCCTTGGCTGGACTGCTCCAACAGCCAAGAAGGAGTCTTTTGCTCCTCTTGTGAAATCTCTCCACAGTTAAAACCCCACTCAAGGCGGCATACAGCAGGAAAAGATTTGTGCCATGTTCATTGCAAGATCTGAGAAGAGGCCCTATATAGGCAGCTGCTTAGAGGTTAGGCATCCACGATCTCGCTCCCTGCTTCACATGCCCATTTAACTACTGAAAGGGGCTGTGGTCTGGATAGCACATGGACCAATACATTTTGAATGCTTTGACCCTGTCTGAAGGTCACTTGGCACTTTTACGTTCACTGGTGTATATCCCAAATGGAGAACTGTGAAACAGATGGACTTTTTTATTCATTTAGAGGCCCTTAACTGTTTGGAGGAATTTGTGACACCAAAAGGATGTGCTCTGAAGGGATAGGGGCTGAAGATTAGCACCTGCAAGCACTTGCATTTATTATGCTATCACAAGGAATTCATTATTTCTTGCACTTACAATGAAGGTGGCTAAGGTGTGGTAAATGTGTTAGCTTTTCTCTCTCCCTTTCATATATGGTGCTCCAACATAATTAATAACTCCACAGTGCCAATCCAGGCCACAGTCCATATTTCCATTGTTCAGGAGAGGGGCATTTTCTCTTGATTAAATGGCAGAAAGCAAAGTCAATAAAAAGAATTAAAATTCTAAAAACTTCTCAATCATTTACTCTCATCATAATCATGCACAGCTGTAGAAATCACTGAATCATTACTTTTGACATCCACTATATCTTAGGCGGAATCTACACACACATAAAAACCGTTCTGGAAATACTCTTTAAAAAGCATTTTTAAAAATACATTGAATTTTCCATAAGGCTCACCATCGCCATCTAGTGTCACATTGTATACTGCACTTCAAACACACTTAAAACATTTTATTTGCAGCTGTATAGTGAAAAATAGCCCTGTTTGGATAAACCCTAACCTTTGAAACTGAAACATAGGATGGAGACACAATGCTCAGGAACCTCTGGTTGAATGGAAAGCATATTAAACCTTTAGATCTTGATGTCTGGGGTTTTAGATAGCAAGAAATGATTGATTATTTTTTGTGTTCCAGCGGTTTACCTCTGCAAGCGAACAATGCAAAACAAAGCACGGCTTGAGCTAGCAGACTATGAAGCAGTAAGTACCTGAGGCCTTTCCTGGAACTGTCAGATAAATGAGACTCTGAAACTTAGTAGTGTGTGCAGGGAACAAGACAACATAGCACTGTTATCGTCATTGATTTTTTTACCCGCTCCTAAAAAATACAGGTTCAGGAACTGTAACCCACATACAGGTACTTCAGTGGTACTTTAGTGTTTTGAAAATCCTGCAGAGAACTGCAAAATCTGCAGCATTACATTAGAGATAGGAGTGTGACAAAAACAGAGATGATTTAATTTGAGCTTCCACAGTGTTGTTATAGTCTAGGTCTCTTAGAGGCTGCAAGTTCAGCAATATACAAGGCTTTCAGTTGTACATGCAGTAGATCCCCAGGCTGGTCTGTGTTGATCCTGAATCAAAAAGCTGCATCACAAGACAGAATTAGGTTCACTTAAAGTATTGTTTAAAGTGGAGGGTGAATTGGTTTGTAGGTACACAGGTTGGAAAGCCGATGTACACGTTGGCTTAATGCCAACCTGTATATGAGCTGGGGGTGAAAAATGCACCTTACTTCAAACAATACATGATTGTGTTTTTCCCCCTATGTAAATATTCACTGCTCATATTTTTATAAAATTATATTGATCATATAATAATTATTTTTTAAGTATCCTCACTACAGACAGTATTTTTTTTTTTACTATTCCGCAAAGCTAAATACTAAAAGGACCCTTTCTTAGTACAGTGGAACCTCGGTTTTCGAACGTAATCCGTTTTGGAAGACCGTTCGACTTCCAAAACGTTTGAAAACCGAAAATCAAAGGGCTGTCAGCAATTTCAATTGGGAAAAAAGAGAAATGCACCTCGGAAGCCATTCGAGTTCCGAAAAATGTTTAAAAATTGAAGCATTCACTTCTGGGTTTTCAGCGTTCGGCTTCCAAAACGTTCAGCACCCGAGACATTTGAAAATCGAGGTTCCACCGTATTCTCCTGTGAGAGCAACTACACTTCAGGCTAGATTTTTAATACCATTTCATAGACAGATTCCTTTTCATTAGCCCCAATATGAAAGCTCACTGGAGGCTTGCAGCACAATCCTATGCATGTTTTACTCAGAAGTAAGCCCCACCATGTTAAGTAGCGCTTCCTTCTGCTAACGTGTACAGGCCCAATTCTACTTTCAGCTCCAGGAGAAGAGCCTACAGTGCTGCATCCTGAACATCTCAGGCTCACCTTCTGCACTACACTTTTAATTTTACAAGTTCCCCCAGCAGTTATGCCCGGATCTAAACATGTAAGGCTCATTTATCTACAATTTACTTCTGAAACAGGACAGAAGTGCTGAGTCTTTCTTGGAAATAGATCAGCATATGAATTTCAACATTTATTTATGTTACAACGTTTAGATGTAGGACTGACCTATGGGGGAAAGCCACCTAGAAACTTGTCTTGTGACCCAGCTATCCATTGTCAGCATGGAGGCTGCGGTGCACATTGAGAGCTTTCCCATCCAGTTCTGTGGAAGTGAAAGCTCTGGGCTGCAAAGCAATGCCAGGGGAATGGAGGGTATAAGAGTCTCTGGATTAAACAAAGGCCCTTGATATTGCATCTTACCCCATTAACAGGAAATCCTGTAAAATCAGAGGGGGATGTTTCGGATGTGTACTTAAACAAGGAAGAAAACTGCTCAGATAAATTTATCTTAGGAACATTTCATGCTCCCCAAAGATCTCTCCCCAGGATCTTTCTCCTACAATCATGAGAAGAGGCATCTAATAAGAATTGCACACACCCATCACCGCCAGTATATCCAGTAGCTTGCACACAACACGGCAGGGACCCACAGAGTGGATGAGTGACAATGTCTCAGCTAGAGCCGGCTGCCCTGTGGAACAGTCCGCCTGAAAATCCTATAGAAAGTCTTTAAAAGGCTACTACCCGAGGAACTTGCTAATATGTGGTATGTTTTCAGGAGAGCTTGGCCAGGTTACAGCGAGCATTTGCACGGAAATGGGAGTTTATTTTTATGCAAGCAGAAGCACAAGCAAAGTGAGTTCCACTGACGTTTTGTTGCTGGATTTGTCACCCACCATCTTAAGAGGTATTTCAATTTACATTCTTTGTGTTACATATCTACCTCACCATCAACAGAGTGGACAAGAAAAGGGACAAGATAGAGAGGAAAATCCTCGATAGCCAAGAGAGAGCATTTTGGGATGTACACCGGCCAGTGGTATGTAAACAAATGGATACTTGTAAGGTGGAGCATCAACATCTGTCTAGGATTTGGAGGAATATTATTTCTTCCTTGTTTATTTGTTTTTTGCTGACTTTGCTAGTTCAGACATACTCACATACTCACATACTCATTCTTATGCACAAACATGGCATGTTATTGGTTAGCGGTGAGGTCTCACTTTCCAGCTGGTAAGAACTTCTGAGATCATTGGGGTGTAAAAATATGTCCGTGAGATTATAGATGGTTTGTTAGGTCATGAATCACAGTGTCCTGTTTTACTCTTTAAATTTCCTCACAATTGGGGTCAGCAAAAAATAAATAAATTGTAGCATCTAAAGCAGCCAGGAATCTATCAGTTTCCAGTATAAAAACTACATTTTCACTTTTGTGGATATGTGATTTAGCTGAGGAAAACAATATTTGTGGAAATTGCCTGGGATGTTTTTCACACCCCTGTTCCTAACTTAAATTTAGACTATTTTCACACTGCCCTTTACCAAGGAACAATGGGCATTTACAGAGGGACTTTATATCTTCATGGATATAAAGTTAAATGGCTATGCTTGTGAACATTTAACTTTTTGTAATTTTTCATATATAAAAATCTTCATGTCATTGAATATTTTGGTGAGAAGAATTTGTTTGGGGTGTATTAAGAGAAGTACATGAAGCAGGAAGCTGCCACAGATGGTGAGTGGAGTTTATGAGAGCATCAGAACAGAGGAGTGTTTTCTGAGCTTGGCAAAGAGCCCAAAGGGTGGGAAATTAGACCAAAGAAATACCCTGCAGAAGTGGCGCGGGTGGAAATTTGTTATCTCTAACCTGCCTCGCAGGATAAATAAAACAATTGTGATGCATTAGGAGTGCTTGAAGGTGCTATCTTAGTGAACAATAATGAGCCCCATGCTTTTAAGTGCATGCAGGCAAATCAAATCTGTATGGCATGGAGGAAAGGTATAATGGCCTTGATCTTTAATGATGCTGGACGTGGCAAGAACTGGAATCATTTCATGAGAATTTGCGTCAGGAATAAGATGCGCATCAACAATAAGGTGTGGAGATTCATGGTCAGACAGTTTGCCTGTGCCCATTTGGCAAGTTCAAAACCTTGTGTAAGTGGAAGCTGGGCTCCTGAGATGCCCCCTTTGCTCACAGACAGCAACCAGGCCCCAGTCAGGGCCTGCTTTTTGTTTTACACAGGTCATGCAGTAAAGAAAATCCATGAAAGGGTAGATCAAAAGGATTTAAAAGCTGTTATTGCTTGTTCAGCTAAACCACACTTCTGTATAATGTCCCTACAAACAAGCACATGATCTTCAGGAATCATCTCAGCTAGCATGCACAGCGCACGTTTTAGCACATTATCTCCCAAAATGTCTCAAATCCATTTTAAGAACAGCAGTACAAATTTAGCTTGTTTCTAGAACATATATAAAGGGTACATTCATGCTGGTGAATAGAAATTTGATATAAAAATCAAAAAGAAGGCTCCAGAAGGAAAGGAGGTATGCCTTGTTTGAGGTATGCCTTGGACTGGGTGAACATGAAATAGAAGTCAATATAGGTTTAGAGATTTTACAGGCCATTTTATGACATTTTTCAATTCTAACAGGTTTTTAATTTTATTAGCAGCAATGAAACATCAAGTCAACTTAGTTTATCCACAGCATCTGTTTCCCACAATTTGTATTCATCTTGCAAGACTGGCAAGCCCAATTAGAATGAGTGAGATGGCAGCAGTCCAGGAAGATGCGCTAATCCCAATAAAGTTTGTCCCCAGAAAAGTAAATTACAATGCAGTTAAAAAGCTAAAACCATGCATTAACCCTTATTTTCCAAAACACTACACTCTTTTAACATGGCTGCTTTCTGTGATGGCAAACAGAATGTCAGGTATCTTGATTTCTGCATATCCTGTCAGTTATATGTCAGTTATATGTTGTTGGTTTCAACAACAAAGGAAAGGTGGGCTATAAGTCAAACAAACAAACAAACAAACAAACAAACAAACACAAACAAACAAACAAACAAACACTGCTTCAAGAAACAAGATTATTGGGTTGTTCTTGTTTTTATTAGGTATTTTATTATTCTGATTTTATCTTGTGAACTGCCCTGAGACCTGTGGGTATAGGGTGGTATAATAACAAACAAACAAACAAACACAATTTGTTAAAGGAGATTGACAAAGTCAAATAGACATGGATCAGCCATTAATTGACCATTTTCTTCTGATGATGGAAGAATTATTGGATTATGTTATATTGGGAGTTCAAATGCTTTTAAGAAAGAAGGGATGACTTCAAAGCAGAACAGGCTGCTTTCATGTCATTTCATGTCAGCTTTCTCACATTGATCAAGTTTGCTCTATTTAACTTCCCATGCAAGCTTTACCAAAAAAAGCCCAATGTTACCAAGAAGAAGTGTGGGGGCAGGCGGGTGGGGGGGGGAGGAGGACTGTCTTCTGAAGTTCTTGGAAGACAGAGAGTGTCCAAAGTTCCTTTGAGAACACTTCCTAATCTAGCTAAGCAGACCCTCCATCTGGATGGTGAAAAAGCATGAATGCCCATGTTCTCTCACTGCATTTAACCACAAAGTCTGACAGAGCTAAAAAGTGTGGATGATCTGTATGGTCCTGCCTCCCCAACCCATAGTCTTGAGAGAATATTGTTTGAATCATCTGTAGATATGGCTGCATTGCGTGTTACATCCGAGGTGAGAGGATCCCCATCTTTGATAGCTTAGCGGTAAAGCACATCCTTTACATGTTCCAGATTAAATCATTGTCTCTCTGTATTAGCCTTTGGCCAACCTGATGTCTTTAGACTACAGTTCCCATCTGCACCAGCCAACCCAGCCATACTGGCTGGGTTTGAAGGGAGTAGTACGCCTAAACAGCTGGAGGGCACCAGGTTGGTGAAGGCTGCTGTAGACTGAAGAAACTTGGGTAGTCAGGCAGGAAAAGATCAGGGAAGGCAGTGATATATACCAAGGGCCATTATTAACAAAAACTAGCATGGTGTGCTTAAAGAAGAAATGCAGAAGGAAGACCAGCTGGTTTTAATTGCCCCTTAACACTTAACTATTATGGTAAAGGAGGCACTAGCCTAAAATAAGAAAGTGCCCAGGGTATTTAATTGTCCCACAATGTATCTCAATTAGTATGAGAGATTTTCCTGTGAAAGATCAGCAATTGCAACTAGAAGGATTTATTATTATTATTATTATTCATGGTTAGAGGTTGAGCCAAGAATGATTGGCTGGTGTGTGTGTGTTTTCACAATTTGATTATAGTGCTTAGCTAATAAATCTTAACTTATTGTCCTACAGTGTAAGTGATTTTTTCAAAAAAAATGATATATCAGATTTCTAGAATCTAGTCAGCCCAAGCGACAGCAGTGGTTAATTTGGACTGGGGCAGTGAGCTGATAAATGAAGCCAACCTTCCTTAACTCAAAGCCAAATTAATTAGCTATATATGAAGCCATCACATTTACATATTGATTTTGTGTTTTTCTTTTAGCCTGGATGTGTAAATACTACTGAAGTGGACATTAAAAAGTCTTCTAGAATGAAAAATCCTCACAAAACAAGAAAAGTATGTCCTAGTCTCTGGTTACCATTTACCATTTGTTCCTTTCCTTATAATGAAAAAACTCATTTTAATATTTCTGGGCATATATAGTGCCAAGAAGCTATTTCTAAAATGAAAGTAACTCTAAACTCTTATTTTAACAAAATAGCAAGGATTCTTATGGCATGATTCTTTCCCCTGGATTTCTGTTATGGCATGAAAAGTATGATTTTGCCCATCCCCATGAGATGTAATTAATATCTGCTAGGTATAGATAATAGTTTAGCCAACTGAACCCCTTTAACTGTAATATAGAGCAAATAATTGCCCCAGATGTTCAAAGTGGTAAACATATACTGTCCTACTCTCATTAAGAGCAGCTGTAGTGGTGTGGTTCTGAGCATGTTATTTGACCTGTGACAACTCTCTGTCCTGCTGACCAAGGATAAAGGTAAAGGTACCCCTGACCATTAGGTCCAGTCGTGACTGACTCTGGGGTTGTGCGCTCATCTCGCTTTACAGGCCGAGGGAGCCGGCATTTGTCCGCAGATAGCTTCCGGGTCATGTGGCCAGCATAAATAGCCGCTTCTGGCGAACCAGAGCAGCGCACGGAAACGCCGTTTACGTTCCTGCCGGAGCGGTACCTATTTATCTACTTGCACTTTTGACGTGCTTTCGAACTGCTAGGTTGGCAGGAGCAGGGACCGAGCAATGGGAGCTCACCCCGTCGTGGGGATTTGAATCGCCGACCTCTGTGGTTTAACCCACAGCGCCACCCACATCCCCCTTCTAACCAAGGATAGTGTCAGAGCTGCTCCCCGATCCTAGCTCACAGAGGATCACGCTAGCCAGCGTTCGCTTTATAAAAGTCTTTATTGAGTTACAGTTTCCATTTCCAAGCTGCTGCGTGCAACTCTACGTCTTATGGCTAGACCGGCGAAGCTCCGTCTGAGTCTCCGCCCCTCGTACACCAACTTAATATCCTCGCCTTACTCCACCTTTTCCGCCTGACCGTCCTTCTCTGGGTCCCTCTGCCCCCCGTGGTCTCCTCCCTCCGGGACTCCTCTGACGCTGACCCCCCGGACCCTCCTGTCTCCTTGCGTCGGGCTTTAGGACCCGGCTCCCTTTCCGGGCTGCTTACTGCGCCGCTTTCCTGTGCATTTGAACTTGGCGCGCGCGCCCAACCTTCCACTTTCCGCTTGACCGTTTCTTCGCTCCCCGATGGGGGTGTGGTCACTCCTGACTCATGCCCTCCTCCCTGCTGCGAGCTGCCCGGGCTCGATCCCTGACGTCCTTCCTCTCTACTGCGCTCTGGTGGGGACGCTGGCCCCGATTTCCAACTGCTGCCCTCTGAACCCCCGCTGGTCCCTTCCTCCTGGGGTGTCCCCCTAGGCCCCCCCTTTGCTCTGGCCACTGGCGCTCCTTTCTGTGAATCTTCCGATTCACTGGAAAGACTCGGAGATCTTGGGTCGTCGTCATCACTCATCCTTTCTTCGGACTCCTCCCCCTCGCTCTCTGTTTCCTCCCTTGCCCTCGCCTCTGCTCCTGAACCCCTGACAGATAGGATAATATTTATTCTGCAGTGGTGGACTCCACCGGTGAAAACCTTATATCCTGGTATAAGAAAGTGTGGGAGATTGCCTTATTAGAGTGGCCAGAGGAAAAAGCAAAACAAACAATTTTGCAATTCAGTATAGGTTATTAAATATGTTAATGATGATTCACACAATTTAAATCTGCAACCAACATTTAAAAGAATTTAATTGATTCATTCATTATGTCACACCTTCCTCTCTCCTCTCCCTCCTCAAAATTCTACATTTTCTACTGTATAAATATGCTCTCCATTGGTATCTATTAGTTTATCTATTTTTAATAATCTTATTATTTATTTTCTTTGTCAATGTAATGTGTGTGTGTGTGTGTGTGTGTAAAATATATTTTGTACATGCAAAATTAATTTTAAAAGTTATTTACAAAACAAAAGAAAGGAGAGACCCTTGTTCTGTTCCTGACATCTCCATGAAGGACTGGGAAAGACTTTCTGAAACTCTGGAGAGTCACAGTGTAGACAGTTATGAGCTGGAGAGACCAATGGTCTAACTTCTTATAAGGCTGCTTTCTACTGTGTGTGATAAAGTCCCCCTTAGCACTCAGCAGAATAATACAGAAGATCAAGCTATATCATCGTGAGAGAACTCAGCAGAGAGTCGGTGGGTCATCTGCATAACCTCATTATCCTACCATGTCACAAGTTCATGCATGGCGTGCCAATTTAAAATATTGAAATGGGTCCTTGTAAAATGAATGTACTAAATGTTTCGTATACGTTTATGCATAATTAGTCCATTTATGCTTACCAAATCAGCACCAACATATCAATTTCTCTCTTTCTGTGTTTACATATAGTCTGTTTACGGATTACAGAATGACATTCGAAGTCACAGCCCTACACACACACCAGCGCCAGAAACTAAACCACCCACAGAAGAGGAATTGCAACAAGAGGTTTGCTGCGCCCTTATTTTAAACAAGGTCTCTTTAAATTCACCAGAGGTGGACCACATATTGCTTTCCATTACAGTATATGGGGATTCAGTTCTGACATGAATCAGAGCTAAGGTGAACAGATCCAGAGGGCAATGAAGTTGGTGCTCGATGCACAGAATTGCATAGGCGAACAGAACTGTGTACATGAGCATAGATTTGTGCGTGCAGGACAGGAGCCTGCAATGAGGGGGGGTCATTGGAAGGGGACATGTATGGGAGCAAGAGGGAAGTAAGTCCTTGAGAATGACATTGTATCACATCAAACCCCAATGTATTTTCCTGCATAGTATTAAAAGGGTGTTTCCCTAAAATACATAACAATCATTATTATTTGCAAAGAACATTATCAATTGTTTACAGGAATCTGCTGCCTATCACTTACATAAGAATCTGTGGAATTTATAGAAGCCTTGAATCCATGTGTGTGCAAACTTAAGCTTGAACATTCATAAACTGGAAGCGAGGCATCTTTGCATGCCCAGTTGCAAGGGGAGTCCTGATGGGCAGCGGGGGTCAACGGTACACACAAGGGCCCAGAACATATGCAGATTCCCAATTTATCTTAGAGTCCAAATGAAATTCTATTTACTCGCATCTGACAAAGACAACTGAGCAATTATCCTCTTACCTTGGTCTTCTGTTTTTGCATTTTGTAGATAAAGTATTGGCAAATACAGCTAGATAGACACCGGTTAAAAATGTCAAAAGTTGCAGAAAGGTATGTATTACCTTCAATTCTACCAAGTTCTTTAGCAGGTACTAGGTTGTATTGACATAAGAGTGCTGGGAGGCATTATAATTTTCTAAAAAATGAAACAAAATGACAGAGAGTAAGTTGCCCTATGGAAACAAGGTAATAGTAACAATTCTGTTGTGAAAATGTCAGGTTGTTTTTGTTTTTCTAGTTTATTGGCTTATACTGAGCAGTATGTGGAATACGACCCATTTCTGACACCACCCGACCCATCTAATCCTTGGTTGTCGGATGATACTTCTTTCTGGGAAGCAGAAGCAAGGTATGTTGTGTGTGATTTGGACCTAGGCCTTATTTTCAGGTAAACTGTTCTTCTGCAGCTAGGCTTGCTTAAAAAAAAAAGTCAGTTTCCTAACAGAGATGGGGAAATAATATTTTTCAAGTTGAATCCCTATTCAGCTTCCCCTACCCCTGATGAAGGAGAAATCAAGGGTTAGGGATTGGACATCAGTGCTTGCTAAACACAGGGCAGTCACATAACACAAAAAGGAAGTCTCTGAAGCAAGAAATGGGGAAAGATGGCCTGGGGGAGGAGTCATGGGCAGATCCTAAAAATATCGCAGCTTCCATGGAACAATCTCCATCCATACAAATGTATTGGTAACGAAGCAGAGAAACAGTGGAACTGAAAGCAGCACACTTGAGCACTTGGCGAGGTCAAGAAGCTGAGCTGATTCTACTTCATGAACCGCCTCTCTTCATGAACCGTCACTATTTTTATCTTCAGAAAAAGATCATTAGTCACCAGCCTGCTCTACAGTTGCAGTCTTGGGGTGTGTTTACTGCTTTTTACACATCATTAAATTAGCTTCAAGCCTAGTTACCCTTTAGGGCTACTTCACATGGCATGCATCACCTTTCCCCAAAATAAACCCAGCAACAAACACTCATTTCTGAGGGTGTATCCCTGCTTTTCTAGATGGAAATGATGGGGGGATGAAGGGGGAGAAATGTTTGTAGCAGTCCCTAGACTAATCTCTCACAATTTGCTGTAAAATGCTGTCTTGGGTAATAGAAAGCTGACAAAACCATTAAAAAAAATAACTGAAGCCTTTTGCCTCTGAAAAACCTCCCCCCCTTTTCAGTAAAGAGCCAAACCAGCAAAGAGTAAAGCGATGGGGATTTGGCATGGATGAAGCCCTGAAAGATCCTGTGGGGAGAGAGCAGTTCCTCAAATTCCTGGAGTCTGAATTCAGCTCAGAGAATTTAAGGTAAGAAGGTCTTTTGCATCCATTAATGCTCCCTTTCTTGATTTGTTCCATTACAAAGCACATAACTTAGAAACTAATCTTTCTGTCAGGACTAATTCAACCTTCCTGAGAATCTGGCCAGATTATTTTGCCAGAAATTGCAGTCAAATCATCCTATTAGTCATCCTTGTTCGTATGGTATTTCCCCCCATGTTCAAATGGCATTTAAGACACTAAATTGGAAAAAAGGGAGGGGGAATAGAAGCTTTGCCTCCATGTTTGCAACATTTAGTTAGCAGGATTTGAAATGTAGCTTCACAACTAATGTTTCCACATTTTCCTGTACAGGTTCTGGTTAGCTGTAGAAGATTTGAAGAAGAGACCGATGAGGGAAGTCCCTGCCAGAGTGCAGGAAATCTGGCAAGAATTTCTTGCCCCCGGAGCACCGAGTGCCATTAACGTAGATTCAAAAAGTTATGACAAAACCACACAGAATGTAAAAGAACCAGGGCGGCATACATTTGGCGATGCTCAGGTTAGCAGGATCCATTCATATAGATATATCCAAAGAAACTGCTGGCTAGGGAGATGTATAGCTGTGGGAACCTATGGACAGTTCTTCAGTCCATTTCTACTTTTCTAAATGTACCATTGGCAGAGTGTTCAGTTTTCAAATAACATGCCATATACCTGATGTACACCATTTAAGGTCCATGAGGTCTGCTTTAATTATTCATTCACTTGCTGATTTTAAAAATGGGCACAATTCAGTCAAGCATAAATATATTCCTGGGCTTATAAATACTTAGCTTTTGCCCCATTCTTTCCAGGCACAGGTCTCTGTTTAAAAGCTCCATGTGGTTTCCTTTAACTGAGCTTTCCCCACGAAAAATCACTCTTTAGCGTTCAATCGGAGCAAATATTTCCCAGTGCAACTGGAATTTACGCTGTGGAGATGGACCTGAGTGGAGACCCCTCAGGTCCACCTCCAAACCCATGCCTACTAGACCGGCCAAGATTGGAAGAACTGAAATATAATTTTTCTGGGATGTCCCTGAAGACGCTGTGTCCCACCAAGGCTGTCAGTGCTACTCGTAGTCATTCTCTCACGGCTGTGCCAGGCCACAATTGCCACCACCGACAAAACAGAAAGCTGTCTTTTGGTTAGAGGAAAGGCAAGTGGGGACATGATACAGGTGTATAAAATTATACATGATGTGGCAAAAGTGGATAGAGGAAAGTTTCCCTCCCTCATAACATTTGACATCCAATGAAGCTCAGTGTTACAAGATTCAGGACAGACAAAACAATATACTTCACTGGTTGAGTCTGCAGTCATATCTCCTCCTCCAAGAGCAAAGAAAGAGAGGTCTGACCTTGTAGGGGGAGATCTGACCTCATACCCCCTCTCAGCTGCTTCAGAAATGTCTGCAGCCCTTGCCTTATTGATGTTGGAGAGACAACAGTAGACCTGCTGGCAGTAGGTCAGGGGAAGGCTTTAGGAAGGATCCACAGTCTTTCATTCCCCCTACATAAACCCTAAAATGATGTTTGTGTGGCATGGGATATGTCAGGCCTGGATAAAGTACCTCTTTTTTTGGGCCACTGGAAAATGTGGGAGGGAAATAGCTTTAAAAAGCAACCCCAAAGACTGTAAAGGGGCAGGGAAGAGAGAAAGATGCCATTTCCCCCTCCTGTCTGTCCTGTGTCAAGCAGGGCTCTATATCGGGCAGTTCATTTGCTTTGGGTTCTCCTTACTCCCCCTTGTGGATTGTTCTGTAAATAAATAAATAAAATATGTCAGCATTTTTTAACAGAGTCAACGATTGCCTAACAACCAGAGTTAGGAGAAGATTAATGGTGCATTCCTATACACACACACACACACACATGCACATATATGACACACACACACACACACACACACACACACACTCAGGACTAAATCCTATTGAGTTCAGAGGAACTGGAAGACAAATGGATTTAACAAGACTTGCAGTAAGGTTTACACTTTTGCTCACATTTTGAATGCTATGCAGCTGTCTGCTCATGAGTTTCTCCAGTGTAGTTGGAAAGGAGTTCAGGTGACTCCACATGCATAGTAAAGGTTAAGGTAAAGGAGCCCCTGACTATTAGGTCCAGTTGTGACCAACTCTGGGGTTGCGGCGCTCATCTTGCTTTACAGGCTGAGGGAGCCGGCGTACAGCTTCCGAGTCATATGGCCAGCATGACTAAGACACTTCTGGTGAACCAAAGCAGCGCACAGAAACGCCATTTACCTTCCTGTCGGAGCGGTACCTATTTATCTACTTGCACTTTGACGTGCTTTCAAACTGCTAGGTTGGCAGGAGCAGGGACCGAGCAATGGGAGCTCACCCTGTCACGGGGATTCAAACTGCTGACCTTCTGATTGGCAAGTCTTAGGCTCTGTGGTTTAACCCACAGCGCCACCCGCGTCCCCATATGCATAGTACTACATGCTAAACTAGCAGAGTCTCATACTTTGAAATGAATCTGAGACATGGTGGTGGTTGTTTTTTAAAAATAAGGGTGGTTACTACGTCTGCTTAATTTCATCACAATTTACAGACAGAAATATTTTCTTGGTTGGAAGTAATTCCAGTTTTCGTATGTAGAATGCTATAATGCATTTCAGAACTCAAATTTACATAGCAGATACTATTTTTATGCCACTAGGTGGCTGCCTGTAGTCATGTTTTCCACAGAAGCATTCTTAATTGGCCTTATTGTGGGTGGCAGGTAGGCAGGGGATTGTAAAGGTGTTTTTGGTGTAAGGGATGTTCTATATTTGCTTACAGGCCATATAGTTAAGATAGTTGATGGCACTGAGATGAACAGTTTTGCTTATTAAAAAGTAAATTCAGTTCACTGGCTGTGGTAGTTCTACTTAGTTAGAAATGAAAATTTGCAGCAATCAACTGACTAGAGATAAGAGTTGCCTAAATATAAGTGATCTTTTTGTTAGATACAATTTCACCTCTCACAGACTCTGTGCCCTTAGCTTTAAGTTCTCTGTTGCCTTGTTCCACCCTGTCTCTTGCCCTTTGTTATATCCCCAATCCTCCAATGCTGCTACCCTCAGCTTTCCAAGGGTGTCTTGTTTTCTGGCAATAATCTACCCATTCCCTGTTGGTATTCACTACATGTGAAACTTCATCCTTAAACATGGGTAGTCTCGCTTCAAACCCCTCCTTTCCTTCAAGGCCTTATCCTTATTCCCATAATCTTTATTTCTATCATGCACACTAATGGTGCACTTTTTTGGGGGGAGGGGTGCATGCCCAAAAGTTCAGAATACCTATTTACATAGATCCTTTTCTGAGCAGAACAACTTGGCCTTTGATCAGATAATTCCCCCCCCCCCCATTGCTATTGACAATGGCATTTTAAGGATCTGGAGTTCTAGATACAAAGATGCTTGAGATGGACTGAGCGACTCAGTCATCCTGCACATCTGGAAATCCACTACACGATAACCCTTTCTTATCTGTGTATGCTGGAACTCCAGGCACATTTCCACATGTGGAAGTCAGAGCAATGGATTATGTTTAGAGTTATCCCATAGTTGTTCCAGAATAGCAATATCCCTACTTAGCAAACAAGAGGAATACTGAATTGGGATCACTGTTGTTTATATCCTATAGAAGGATACCCACATTTTTATAAACACTACATGTCAATTACATGTTAGTGCCCTATTCTCCCCATTGCCCTTTGCGAGTCTGTCCTAATCTACAAACAGAAAAGTATCTAGATCTCTCCCAATGAACACCTCCCTCGTTCTCTTTTAATGGCAACCGTGCCCACCTGAGCGGGGCTGGAACTGAATACCAGAGAGTTCTGGCTGGGGAAAAAAGCCCTGCTACCAACCATCACCTCTCATTGAATAATTTTCAACCACCCATTCTGAGCATTTGACATTCCTTTGTCCAATCCCATCTGTGCTCCTCTAGCATTGCTTGAGAGCAAGCTCATAACAATAGTCCCAGACACAGCAATAAGGCAGCACAATATATTTTCCTCATGCATGCAGTCAGTCAATGTTAAGAAAATCAGTCACCAAGCACCAACTATGCCCTCCTGAAGCTCTTGGACAGCAAGTGTAACACAACAGCGTTGCAACAGCCACAGTATGAGCAAGTTGGGTGAGCTGCCAATCAAACTCCCTACAGGAAATATTTCCTATGTCTTTTGCTGGAACAACACTTCTGTCGATGCTGGGCGGATGAGACCATTCCCATTTGACTGGGAATGCTTTTATACATCCACGAAACTTTTATTCACATTGACATGCATACAATCAGCTGCAGTATCTCTTTTCTGTGTCCTGTCGAAAACAATCTCGTTGTGATTTAAAGTTTCCTATATTCCTTTAAACATTTTAGGAGCACATTTACAAATTGATGAAAAGTGATTCATATCCTCGTTTTCTACGATCCAGTGCCTACCAGGAACTGCTACAGGCCAAGAAGAAGGTATTGGTCCATCTTGTCTATGTCTTTCCAACTATTTCAGTGGTGGTTTCTCCTTGCAACCATATTGGCTACTTTTTCGCCTTGGGTAAGGTGCATATCTGGTAGGTGAAAAGTTAAGTTTGAGCATCACTGAAGGGATCCAGGCATATATCTGTTTTGCACTTTTGCATGACTGAATAAGTTACACTAACCAATTCCATGTTGACATTCACATTGTCAAATTCCTCTAGTAACCAAAGGGCTAAATCAGGAAAATAGCTTTTAAGTAGGCCAAATATCTCTAGAAACAGTGTTTCAGAATAGTGATTTTTTTCACCTTTTTATATCTTATGAAACGATTTACCTTAAATGCATTTAAGACCCCACCGTGCATGCTTACTTGGAAGTAAGTCATAAGTGTGCTAGGACTGCAGCATCATAAGCCTTTTATTCTCGGTTGACAGGAAATTCTGTTTCTTTTTTTCTATTAGGTCAATTGCTATATTCTTGTTAAAAGTGTATCATCTAGACCTAGTGCATGTTCATAGGGAGGCTCCCTTGTGTAAACCCCATTGAAATGAATGTTGATACTATAAGGACAGGAAACAAATGATTTAGATCAACCGAAATCAATGGAGTGGCTTTTGATGTTCATTGATGTTTTGCTTTAGAAGACCCCCAAACTATATGCGATGCCAAACACATTAGATTGTGAACTGTATATCTTTTTTGAAAATCTAAATAGCAGATGGGGGAAAGCAATCGGAATTGGGACGTTGGGGGTGCATTTTAACCCTTTCCTTCCCCACTATATTCCTGCCTTTTGAAGATGCGATACACCATGGGAGAAAAGTTCCTCTCAACTTCAGTGGGCTAATTGCCGTTTCAAGGACACTTTTCTTGGAATAATGGTGGGAAGGAAAGAGCTATACCAGAACCACAGTCCCAGTACTGATTGGGGCTGCCATCCCTGCTATTCAAAGCAAGATATATGGAACAATGTTACATGTACTTTAGTTCTTACATTTAATAGCCTGCCTACAGAACTGCCTAAAACCAAACGACCTTTCCTCACCCATTCCAGTTACGTTGCTATTTGCATATCAAATAAGCGAAGATGTAAAACAAGCCAGAAATTCTCTAATTTGGGTGGTTTTCTCATTTCTCTAAATGTCTTGCCATTTAATCAGCATCTCATTGTTTTGCTTTAATTTTATGTGTGCGCACGTGTGTATATAAATATATATAAAATGCCAGTTTGATCCACTTGCCAGAAATTTCTAACCAAAGGCACAGATCCCAAGATTATTGCATGCAACTGTGCGCCACCTCCCAGGTGATCAGCACTGGCAAAGTTGACTGGGCCATCCATCGGTTTAGTGGTGCAGAAACCGTGCGGGAGTACTGGGTGTAATTTCCACACCCACCCGCCCTGCATCCAAGCCACACTCAGTTGCTTGTGTGGGTTCCCATTCCGAAGGGACGTCTGGTCCTGTAAGCCTGCTTCTGCATCCAGATTGCCCTTCCCAGATCAGGTGAAACATTACAAAGCTTTCCTGTTATTTATTTCTCTATATGCTTTTACATCTTCTCCTACATTTGCGTTTGCTTTGTGATTTGTACATGAGCTTTGTGTTTTAGCAGCCCATTGTTTCTTTCTCCTCATCCCCCCATGTCTGTTCTTTTCGGCTTCTTTTGTTTCCTTTCCCCTTTTTATTTCTTTTCTTTCACTTTAAGTTTGGAAACACAATGGACCGTCGAACATCTTTTGAGAAATTCACACGCAGTGTGGTAAGTTCATAACCTTGTAAGCCTTTCCGGTTAACAGACTTTCCTCAGGTGGTATTTAGGTGACAACCTGCTCATGTCACCAAGCACTGCTTTAAACACAGTCCCAGCCGAAATTATTTGGAATAGTTTTAAGTCTGCCTTCCGCAACCTGCTTCCTTCCAGATGTTGTTGGATTCCAGCTGCCATCAACCACAGCCAGCATGGGGCCAAAGACCGGTGTTTATGGGAGTTGTAATCCAGCAACATCTAGAAGGCACCAGATTGGGGAAGGCTGGTTTAAATGGCAGGAGCAGCTTAAGCAGGCAACATGGCCACACCGCTTTTCTGGAAACAAAATCCCATTCATTTCCTTTTTAAAAAAGAGAGAGATTGCTAAATTTTAAAGCAGTTGGATTTATTACATTTCACTCTACATTTTTTTTAATCACGAGCCACCCCCACCCCAAATGTTGTGTTTGTTTTGGAGGGTTGTTTTTTTTAATGTGCCAATGACTTTTTCAACATTGTGCAAGTTCAAACTAAAGCATTCAACACATTTATTTTTGTAGGGCAGAAACATCCCAATTTTCCCATGCCATAAAAACTGTACACCAACACTGAGGGCGAGCACTAACCTGTTATGAAAAGAGGTAGAAGAACTTGAATTATACTTCAGTTTGTTGATACTGTCTGCTGAATCATGTGCATTTCATGTGTGCGAGTGTGTGTGTGCATAAGCGTACCGTATTATTGTAGCTTTTGCTGTGACAGCCAGTTGATGAAACCATGTATGCTGAAGTGATTGTTTGTACTGAACATCAGCAAAGATCATGGTTTTTGTTTTCAGTTGCTTCCTAAGAGATCAACCAGCAGCATGCTCCAATCAATATCTTTAATAACTCCCAAATAAGCAAGGCTTAAAATACAACCTAAAGTAGATTTAATGTCATGATAAGGACAATGTAGCAAGTGGAGTTCATGGATCACATTATCTTGAGTAGCTTTTGTGAGCTAAAAATAAAGATTTGGGGGGTGGAGGAGGTTTGGATATTGATATTTAGGGGAAACATATATGCTACACAGTAATAACAGAGTACTGTATACGTTCAAGAATTCAACTGGATTTGGAATTTTTCATGCTCTCTTCCAGATCCTTTTCATTTCAATGTGCCTTGCACACTAAGATGTCTTTGTGTATTGTGCCAGCCACACCAAAATAAATCATTAGTGGGGAGTTTGAAACAAAAACCCCTATTTTTGCATGGTGGTTTTCCCACAGCATGTTATTCTGTGAATTCTGTATCGTCTGGAGTGGGGTGGGGGGGAAAGGGTCTATAAAGCCAGCATTATAATAAATTGAGATGTGTGATTGAAACTCACTTTTATAATTATAGGTAAACTGTTGAACAAAATCTGAGATGGATACAGCATTATCATCAATTATAATATGGAATCATATTATTATGGTTTATTCATATGCCGCTTCTTGGCCCAAAGGCCAGCCAAGTGGTGAACAGCAGATTAAAACAACATATAAATTACAATGCCATCAGTCAATCAAAATCAAAACATAGGAGGACCAGAAGGCATAGGATTAGAGAGTGAACCTCTGAGCTGTGGAGATTTCCTTTCTTGCAATGACTATGAGGATGTAACTAATGGAATTAAACAGTAGGCTCACCCGGAATATAGACAGAGAGGGGATGTCTCACTTTATAGCTAGCTAGGACCAGTGATGGTGGGAGTCCAGCAATAACTGGAAGGCTTTTTGTTGGCTACCCCAGAAACAAGTATGGCCCAAAGTCCACCAAATACACAGTCACCCTGTTGTGTCTGGCTGGAGCAGTTCAGGTCTTGGAGGTCTGGTATCCAGAGCCTAAGTAAATCTTGGGTTGGCCAGGGTTTGGCTGTCCACCCTGGCATGAGAGTGAGTTGGGGAAATTGCATCAGCACAGCAGGTTTGTCAGACATATTGCAGAGGGCAGAGGGGCTTCTCGGTAGTGGTGCCTGCCCTGTGGAATGTCCTCCCATCAGTTGTCAAGGAAATAAACAACTGTCTGACTTTTAGAACACATCTGAAGGCAACCCTGTTTAGGGAAGTTTTTAATGTTTGATGTTTTATCGTGTTTTTAATATTCTGTTGGGAGCTGCTCAGAGTGGCTGGGGAAACCCAGCCAGATGGGCAGGTTATCAATAATAAATTATTTTTATTATTATTATATCTTCATGGTACTGATGCTATGGAGGAATAAACTTGGTAACAACTGTTCCAGTTCATATTCAAGGTCACAACTTTCAGCACATTTTCCTTCAATATATGCTAGCTTTTATCTCCTTTACTGAATTCCAGTGAGTCATTATGAAAAGTGGTGAGTGAAACTGTACTGAGGTATACGAGAAAAATGCTACTTAACCCCACGGCTATCAGCAACTATGCTGCAGGATGTCAAGAAAGAGGTGGTGGCCTTTAAAAAACAAACAAAATATGGTGCCTTTTCTCTCTAACCCAAGGTAACTTCAGCCACACTCCTGCCTTTTATGAGGCATGCTTGCAGAGTAGAACAGTACTTGTTGGTCAAGGCCTTAAAACAGTGTCTCACCTCTGGCCTTCCGCACCCTGAGCCAGTTGCCTTCCATGACAAATCCAAATACTCAATTACAGCAGCATCCAGTTTGCCAGATGATGTTGTAAGCTGTTGTGGCAGGACAATAGTGGGTGCAGAGGGTGTCCACCAGGAGACAACATGGAGAGGGGTGTATGTGTTCTGCACCCAGCAGCATGGTGGCACCCAGTTGCTGGATGCCAGCAGCCTGTGTCTGCACTGGGTCACCCATCCACTCAGCAACTGTGTACTGGCTGCAGCACCCTGCCTCTGCCACAACCTCCTAGTGAGAAAGGTAAGGGAGCCGGGTGGGTGGGTGGGTGTCTACCTCTCTGGAGCCATGCCATGGCCACCAGCCATTACTCAGTACACAATGCATGCAAAGGACACAAAGCACTGCAATACCTTTGTTCAGTCTGTCCCTATTATCTAAATAATCAGACTGAGATATGGGGGTGTTTGTTGGGACATCTGGCCAGTGCAATTTGTCATAATCTTGAAAAGCAGTTTGTGGTAGCCAGGGCCGTCTTTACCCAGGGGTGCAAGGGGTGTGGGGCACCCAGGCGCTGAATTCTGGGGGGCGCCGGGCACCCACTGCTGAAGCTGCCTAAGAGTATTGTATTGAGCTGCTATGCGGCAGTGGGGTCAGCAACACCTTTAACACGACTGATCTTGCGCCACCTGCCTGCCAGGAGGAGGAGGAGTGACAGAAAAGAGGGAGAGAGAGACAGAAAGAGAATGCGCCTATCTAGCGATGGGAGCGCATGCATGGAGTCTTTACACCGACTCCCAATGTGTTCTTTGTCTTCTTTAGGAAAGCTCGTTTTAAACAAAAACACAAAAAACTCCTTTTTGAGCTGTGCAGGCATGAGCACTATTTATCAAATGATAATAGTGACATAAGGCATAATAAAAGTTAATTTGGGGGCTAAACTAAATTTGGGGGTGCTGGGTGGATCTTTGCACCCTGGTGGCGCATATGCTAAAGACGGTCCTGTTGGCATCAGTAAATCAAATAGTAGCTTGATTTGTTTCAGCAATTCGCTCTGTGGCTTCAAATCTTTAACTTATATTGCCGAACACACTGCAGGGAAAATGTTAGGTAGTTTTTATGGTATCAAGTGAATACAGACAGAGTGAAAACTGAAAAGCATGATGTCAGGGCTGCCAAAACCATCTTCTCTCAAGAATTCCAATCTCTGAAGTCTTTTGTTTGCTTGCTGATAACTAATGAATTCATTAGGATAAATTTCAATTGGATAGCTACAAATGGGTACAATGTGTGGCATGCTAAATGAAAAACCAAGCTGCTTTTACCACTAGACTTAGATTTATTCAGAGTGTTCAGGTACAGATCCAGACATCCGTATATGTCACTTGAGTTCCTTGAAATTGATTATGGTACACTTGGTGATTTGGCAGCTGAACCAATTCAATGGAAGGCTTGCATCTAAGGTGATAAGGAACTTCCATCGATGACCTTTATCTGTGATGGCCAATTCAGACATGCATGTCATCTCTTGATATCAGCAGTCATCAAATGTTTAACCATTTGTTGTGAAACAGCCCATACAGGGTTCCTGGGTAAAATGTATTGATGTTACCTACAGTAAGGTAGGTGCTTCGCGATGAACTGGGTTTGCAGTGATCATGCCTCTATTTTCTGTTTTCTTTTGTTTGTCTGTTTTTTTATCTTATCCTCAGGGGAAATCGCTCACATCAAAGAGATTAACCAGTCTAGTGCAGTCCTACTAAAAGGATCACCTTATAGCATGGAAGCAGACTCAATCATTATACATACTTTGTAGCTCACTAATTGCCTGAAGACAGAGGACAGTAGAACAAGATGTTGCATGAGCAAAGGACATGACTCGTTTTCTTTTGTGTATATCAAGGCATTACAGACTCCAAGGGACTCGCTAACCTTTCGATGCCTCCATTTTGAAAAACTCTCTGCTCACTTTCGCCTTCATATCAAGCTGGATCTGTGTCTTTTTGTTTCCTGCAAGCTGAAGTACAGTGAAAAAAGCTTCTGTTAGGCAGAGTTTATTCACAATACTGTCAGTCGCAAACTGGAAGAAATGTAAAAAAAAACCCCTAAAAATAAAAAATTGAATATATTCATAAATATACCTACTATGACATCACGGCTATTGCACAATAAATTAGCACAGAAAGTTCCATCTCACCGATGTAGTCACATCGAGAAAGAAAGTCTGTGTCTTTGTCTGTTGTCTGTATATTCTATGTTAATGTTTCTTGCATTTATTTTTATACCATATTTTAAGACAAAAAGAACACATTTTACTCCAAATGTATTAAAGCTGATCCTTTCTCTGTAAATTTGTGTATGTTTATATTGTTGTTTTATCTTTCATTAAAATATGCAGAATCTCTTCCATCTGGTAAGTTTAAGTTCATCGGACTAGCAGGGGCAGCAACATGGTTTTTACTTCCTTTCTGTTTGGAGATGTGCACATTGTCTAAACCCACAGCTAAACTGCACTAGACAGGAAAGGCAAAGAACAGTTATGAAACTGTGCAGCAGGCAGAAAAAACAGTATAAACATTTTATTGGTTTACTTGAAGCAATGATGGGGAAAACTGGCACCTGTTTCTGTATGCCTCTTAATGAAGCTTTTAAAGGCAAATGTACTCTATCTGGGGGAATGGGGGGGGATTAATAACATTGATTTAAAAAACATAGTGACAGGATTCCGGTACCAGATCTGAGAAGAACAGCCTTTGCCCAGCAGTTAATAAAACTGAGCCATTCAAAAGCAGTTAACATCAAGATCACACTGACTTGTTTTGTTTGCTTCAGAAAGGTGATACCCCCTGCATTTTATTATAAACATTTCACGGACAAGTATTACTCAGCCATTGATAAAAGCAGGGCTGGACCAACTCCACCAGCCCCACAAGTAGTTGCTATGGGCAATGTTCTTCAACCTCTGGAAAGCAATAATGTGGTACTAAATCTACCACTAATGCACTTTTCTTGTGTCAAGAACATGTTGCAAAATACACCCGCAATAAAGCACCAGGCCCTGGCTGGCCTTGTTACCTAAGGGCTGGGAGGAGTGATATTTTTGCGTGTCCCTTCCTCATCTTGTGGATGGCGTCTTTTTTGTTAATTTCTCCAAATGGTCTTATAAGCGGGATGTTTCTCTTAAATCCTGCTGGATAAACTTCAGAGGTTGTAGTCAACAATCGTATGTGACAATTTCCAGATGTTCCAAAGATCAGAGTAATCTAAGTTCTAAAGGAAAATACTAGCAAACAAATGGATGGGCTGATTGGATGTTTGGGGGGTTAAGCGCAGGGTCACATTGAAAGGTTTTGTGCCACTGCAGAAAAATGTTTAATGCTAGTAAGAATCTAGCAAGCTAAAAATCAAGCTACCATGACCCAGCTCCTCGTTTGATGCTTGTCTTTTTCAAGTCGTTTGTAAGATAGCACAGGTCTACTGCACATGGGACTATAACATGTTTGAGGACATGAAAACCACATGTTTGAGGACATGCATATCACATGCTCAGGCATCAGGGAGACAAAACTGACTGCCCTTGTATAGAAGGCAGCAAGTGCACAGTTGATGCTGCATTATTATTATTATTATTATTATTATTATTATTTATACCAGCTACTCTGGGTGGCTCCCAACAGAATTTTAAAAACACGATAAAACATCAGACATTAAATTAAACATCAAACACTGCTCCATGACGTGGAGTGCAGCAGCCACCTTGGTGGAGAAACGAGATCTCGTGAGATTTTGGTGAGATCTTTGACATCTCACTGGAAATTGGTGCAGATGCCAGCGCCATTTATTTGCTGGTGGCGGAGGCCATGCAGAGGTGGTGTGGCAAAGCCCTGACATGGGGCCTTAGAAGCACCACCTGAAGACTGGTTTTCAAGCACCTCCCAGCTAATAGTCTGCTCCCAGATTTTTATGCTGGGTTAGCCTGGATTAATGTCTCTTCTTCCTCAATTCTATGGCTGAGCGTGTTCCCTCATTCCCAGCAGAGAAAGTAATCTCTGAATGTGCTGAGGCAGCCATTTCAACCACCCTCTGGACCTTTTGCCACTAGCACTTTAAATGTGCTCCTACTCCTCCTTGATTCTTTCTGCCTGCTACTTTTGCTTGCTAGATCTGTACCATGCAAGTGACTCTTCTTCAGATTCCCTCCCTTTACTTAACTTTCAGCCTGACACTATACATGCCTACTCAAGAGGAAGCCCCACTAAGTGAAATGGTGCTGTTATTAAAAAATACTGGAGATACACAATAAAAAAGGTTTAAATGAAAGCGACTCTTTAGCAGAGGATATAATAGGGCTCCTTGTGCAAAAGCAGGAGTTCATTGGACCTCTGCCCTTCAACATAGGATATAGCTAAAATGAAAGGCACAGTCTATAGGTGGATTTCCCCCTCCCTCAACCAGCCACTGATGCCATCTTTGTAGAATCACAATAGCTGCAAATTCAAGATTGCATTTGAAGTTTTTTGTGGGGAGTGGGGAGCAAACTACTTGGAGCAAATAGCCAATGTGTGTGTTGAATCAAAGACAGCACTTTAGTCCCTCTCAGGGTTCCTCTTCACTGTCATCTGGAAAGAGAATTTCTTCCCCTACAGATGCTGAAAGCTCACTGTTTGACTACTGTGCTACAGAAACTATATCATCCTCCGGGTTGCCTGCTGACTGGCAATTCAGTCCTGCTGTGACCCAAAAGTATGTTCACAGCTTGGATCAAAGATGTTGTAATGAGTCTCACTATGAAATCTTGAAAGTTATCTTCAAAATATATGAGATGTTGCCAAAAGCCCCATTAACGGATATTCTGCCATCTCCTAACTTACGGGTGGTGGGCAGGTAATAAGTGTTTAAGGAAGATGCAGGAGAATATGGGTCACCAGACAAGTACAAGGAAACAGGCAAGATGGAGAAGAGAAGAGTGAAAAGAGGGTTCAGAGCCATTCACTGGGATCTGAAGAAAAAAGCTGCCAAATTCTCAAATGGTACCCGACACAGTGATTTAGATAATACCACCTTCCACATTTTTTGTCTCCTAGATGCACTGAGGAAATTTGACACTGGTGATAAACATCTTAGCGCCAGGTACAATATTTGATTTTGTTTGCTACCAGTGTAATCAAGAAGTTTGATTCAGTTGCAAACTCTGTACATGCCCTGAAACTATGTGTATAATTTGGCTCTGTTCCAAGCAGTGAGTATGGGTGCCATTGTAATAAAGAGAGAACAAGCTGATACAAGGCCAGACACAACCGGGAATCAGTTGCATATGTCTGATTGAATCCCCAGAACTCAATGCCATATCCAATGGGATTTCCAAACTGTGGCCCACAAACCAACAGTGATCTGCAAGCTTCATTCAGGTCGCCCGTGGCATGCCTGTGGATGAGAGACTTCACACTGTATGTTCATATACTGGGTTTAAGTGGTTTTTTATTGCTTCTTTTATTTCTTATATTGTATCTTTAGTATTGCAATCTGAATTCTATAGCAATCAAACAGTGTCCAGCACAGCTCATCACAATTGCTACAACAGGCAAAAAAAAATTGAGTGGTCCACAAAGACCCCCAGCAATTTTCAAGTGGTTGGGGCCAGGGAGGGAACTTGGGAAACCACTGAACTCCATCAACCACAGTATGTATGTAATTTCTGTGGTTTGGTATATGTTTAGTTCAGGAAATGACAAATGACTGGCCCTGTTAGAGTGGCTACATAAAAGGGGGACAGGGTTCCTATACCTCACCACCCTAGGTTGTGTTATTTGTTTATTATTACATTTATATTCTGCCCTTCCTCCCAAACGAGCCCAGGACAGCAAACAACAAGCAATAAAACAATAACATCTTAGAAACATCTTAAAGGTTCTAAACACATAAACTAATTTTCTTTTCTGAGTTGATAAATTAGAATTGTGTGTGTGTGTGCGTGCACCAGGAAGAAATGTGCTCTGAAATATTTATTCTGTTTTGGCATGAGTTCCATTGAGTTTTGTGACCATTAAAGGATTTGAAAGCAAAAATCCTGCTCCCAGAGGGACTTGTAAGAAGCAGGCCAATCCGGCAGATGGCAGCATTGGGTTGTTTTACCCTCAATCAGGCTTGGGGCCTAATGTTTCATTGAAAGAACATGTCTTTAGGTGAAAGGGAACATCTTTAAATTTGTGCATCCCCTTCCCCTTCTGTTCTTTCACTTTTCTGTGCCATTAAAAATGAACGGCCACATGAAGAAAACGCGAAGGGGAAGCTATGCAGCAGCAGCTATAACGGTATAGATAGCATCTTTGTATTACAGGAGGACCATATCTTGGCTCCCATGCCGGCTGGCAGTCGGGGTGTGGCAGCATCTGGGGTGAACAGTAGTGGGTTCAAGAGCCATTTCCCTCTTCTATGTAAGAAAATATGCTTGGGTGGGAGCTGTTATGTATCTGTGTTTGCTTGAGCTTGAGTCTGGACTAAGGATTCTGAGCCCCTGTGTTCCGATTCGTTACATGATATCCAATCACAGAACATTTCAGGATTTGGGCCTCTGCTATTGGCCCTTAAACGTTGAGTTATGATTTGCAGATTGGAAGTTTAGACAGCCAATCATGTTGGGAGTGGGCGTGGCCCAGGCCTTCAGAAATGTATATAAGCAGTTGCTTTGCCCCTGTTGTCTAGTTCTGTTAATTCAATAAAGGTTCTTGCTGTTATCACTATGTCTTGCCTCGTGGGAACCCACCTACACTTCAGGAGCCTTGGTTTGCAGTTGCATACCACCTACTTGAATACAATAACTTCCAGTAGTGACTGCTATTATTTCGATTTGTTTTAAACTATTAATACATTATATCAATGATTCTCAAAGGGTGTGCCACACCAAAGAGGTGTGATAGGACAGGATGACAAGTTTAATGGTTATTATATTGGTTTAAAAAACAATTATTATTTTTTGTTTTTTAATTTTTTTTTTTGAAGATTTCAGGGTAGTATAGTATCAACATAATTTTTTGTATATACAACCAGAAACAGTATCCCCACCTTTCTTCAAGAGGCTATTATTCTACAGTTCTCCACGACGTATTGTTGTGAGCAGGGATTATCACCTCTGACAAATATGAAAGATCAGAAAAGAGGAAGGCTTATTTGTGTTGGATGAGGAGATGAGAGTTTGTTTGTCTCAAATTAGACCTAATATACATGAGATCACTCAGCAAAAGCAAGCTCACGCCTCTCATTGAGTTTGTATACATACTTAAGGTCCATATGTAAGAGGCTCGTTTATAATTATATTTTGGGAAAGATTCATGTTCTTTTGGTGCTACATTGATTTATACTTTCTGGATGTCGCACAATCATATTATAAAGTAGCTGTGTTCTATGT